ACGGATGGCTCACTCACGTATAAACGGAACCCCGGGTCTTGCTTGTCGTTGCAGGATGTATTGTATTCTGGATTAGGGTTATTTGTATATTGCAGGGTATTGTTTAGCTTCAAACTCATTGTTCTAAATTTTTTCCACTGATGTCATATATTATGATTCGATTGGGTCCCTGTGCATTCAAAATGGCGCCACAACAACACGAGTTGAAGTATTTCAATATAGTTTATAATTTGTGGCTTTTTTGTGGCTTTTGGTACGTGGAAAGTTTACACTGCTCTTCCCACTGAGATTCAAAGTAATCTCTAATTTTCTAAGACAWGGAGCTACACAGTTTTCATCCAATTTCGTGAGTAAGCTTACAGTTAAACATGGGATCGCAAAGCCTCGGGTTACAGTCTGTCGTTTCGCATATTACACATCTGTAAAATGCGAAATGACGGTTTCGCATTTTAAAGATCTGTAAAATGCGAAATCCTCGTTTCGCATTTTATTGTTTCGTTTCGTTTCGTCGTTTATGTTAAGCCGATCAAAGAAGCGGTCAGCACTGGTCAGAAGTTTAATATGACTGGCTTGTGAATCAAAAAGAAAAACTCTGACCTTCAAAAATTTAGAATGATAAGATGCAGGGGTCAGGACGAATAGGTAGTAGTGTCTGAATGAAAATGCGATATGCATGGGTGCAACCTTAACTCATGACTAGTCAAGTCTTGCCCTTTACAATTATATATCTACAAYAATGTGTTTTACCAAATTTTCTGTCTAAAATAACAGAAAGCCCAGTATAGGAAAAGAGAGAGAAGAGATAAAATAAACAAGTAAATTTAATTGACTAATTGATACATACGTTACGGAATTTCTTTTAAATATCCAAGATATTTCAGTTCAAAATGTCTCATAATTTGCTTATCAGTCGATAGTACTACGAACCAGTCACGCATTATGACTGACTAGCCATTATTCATCCTTCGAATTTCAATCTCAAGTCTTCAGTCTTGTTAAAAGCGCATTTTCTCCGATTTCCATTCGTACAAATCTATATTTGCATGTACAATTACCTTCAGACACTACTTTTTACTATCCATGTCGGTATTTTTCTTGTTCTCGATCAATAATTGCATTGAATTTTGTGGGCACAATGAGGACAATAAATACGTGTTTTACTAACAGCTTTCTTGAAACCGAATTTTCTAAAAAGAAATCTTCGGTAATTCTCATTGCGATGTCCCATTACATGCACAAAACGATCGAATATCTATCCTGGGGCGGCAAATATTTACATATTTCGAAACAATTAGGTTATTTTA